CAGTCTTATCCACAGGACCTCATCTACACTCTTCAGCCACCTCCATGGGATCTCTGAAGGTCAAACTTACTTGAATTCCAGAATACCTGGTTGCCCAGGATCCTTCACTATCATCCAGTCCTGAGTCAGATAAGCCAACCTAACTGTTTACCCTCTCATCCTCTCATGGGATACTGTGACATATTTTACACTACAGCACCCACTGATATCCTAAGTCTTCTTATATTAATACTCCTGGGACTTGTCCTTGGGATAGGATTGGCCACAGTATCGCTTCCCAATTATAATTTTACTTCCAGATGTTTACTCTCATTGACCTATTACTTCATAATCTCATTGTTTTCCATTCTTAATTGCTGGAGACAATAATGGTTCCTCTCCTGCTCCTGTTTTCTCTCCTAAACCTTACCCAAGCCAATAGGCCCCTGGTATATACCTTGACTCCATAGAAGCCAGCCCAATCAGATCAGCACATCCGCCTCTCCTCCACATCATTCAAAGGTCCCACTGATCCCTTGTGGCAGTCTGGAAAGACGTGGAGGGGATGGATCCAGGTTTAGAGATCACCGTCACCTGCAGGCCTTGAATACCCAAGACTGCTTCAACCCCATCTGTTATCCAGGTTGTACATAATGTCTCCTATGAACTCCACCACCTAAACTGATCCCTGGCCCAGCTACAAGGCAGTGCCTCAGTCTTACAGAAAACGTCGCCATACCAAAGATATCTTTAAACAACTCCCTCTCCAACATAACCACACTGTATAAAACAACTGTCTGGTAAAAAATTAATACCTCTTAAAATGCTCTCTGTGCTGCAGTTCTTTTGGCCCTCGATTTCTATATAATACCAGGAGATGAGAGAGTCCCCATCCCCACAACTAGGATGGCCTGAGCCCAACAAAAAGGAGTGTTACAGGTGGCCATTGTGCCCCATCACAGCACTGGGCATAGCAGTAGGTATGGTTACAGGAACAGCAGGATTGTCCCACTCTGTAGTCCAATGAAAATACCTAACAGAACAACATAAAAAAGACATTACCCAACTTTCTAAGGTAAGCCTGACACTCCAACAACAGATCAATTCACTTTCTCACGTGGTCCTGCAGAACAGATGAGGACTTAACCTTCTATTCACAAAAAAGGGAGACTTTGCTTGGCTATACAAAAAAGACTGTTTTTTTTTTTTTTAATAACAAATCAGGAGTGGTACCCGACCAAATCCACCAACTTCAGGAGAGCCTAGAAAGGCGACGCAGGGAGAGTAAGTTGGGGACTAATGGAAGACTAACTAGCTGGTTCAACAGTCCTCTACTAACCTCTTTACTTCCCTTTATGATCCCTCTGTTGGTTATCTTTACTTTGTTGGCAGTTGCCCCCTGTGTTCTCCGTTTTATTCAATCCCAGGTCAGTTGCCTCTCCACTCAAGTCTCCCGACAGAGGGCTCACCAGCTGATACTTCAGGCCAGAGACCTAAGCGAGACCACCATGTTTACCTGACAGCCAACCAACTAACCATAGCTCAGATCTGGGCTCAGTTTAAACATTTTCTAAATGATCTTTGGATTGATATTTTCTGGTTTGCTCCCCACCCTTGTCCTATTACCTGCATAGCCAAGTGGGTCACTAACACATGGCTCCAAAAAACTTTATCAGACTTCACCCGACTGAAGTCACAATCCTTACCTTTTTACTTGTTCTTAGTAACCCTCCAACCCAGTCCACAGCCTCATACAAATTACCTTCTATCTCTCTCTCCTCCCTCATTAACTGATTTGTGTGCTTGGACTTTTCTCAGGAAGCCCTACCAACAATTCCAGTAGAAATGCTACTGCTGTCAACAACTCCATGTTCATAAAGGACAACACAGCCGGCCAGGCTACATGCCTGCCCTTAGGTTGGCTCGTCACCCCAGACTCAGCAGGAAGTAGTTACAGAAGACAGATATGTCGCCCCCTTCCCCTGGTGTGTGGTTTGCACTGGCCACCATTTCTCATCTAAAACCAAAGAGGGGGGAATGTTAGGGAATTGATCATGTTAAAGTATGCTGTGATGCCGCCATCACAGGCTGCATTTTGCTGGTGCTTCTTGGCTCTTAGAATGACTTCATGCTCTTATCTTTACTTTCCCTCCCACCAAGTCCACAGTGAGACAGAGAAGTTAAAACCTGTTTCTGCAGAGCTGAACCCATAAAAGACAACCTGGCCTGTGACAGGCTAAAAGTAGCCCACTCCTCATGAATAAGCAATAGCCCAGCCCCAAACCAATAAAAGGACCTTCCTTTTTGTTCTCTTCCTCTCTTCCTGTCTTCTTCTTGCTCCTCTCTCTCTCCTCCCACCCCTTGAATAAAATCTCCAGTCAGATCTCTTGGTGTGTGTGTGGCCTAGTTGTTGAGTGTCACTATTCCATCACCATCACAGAAAAAGACCAGAAACAACCCAGATGTCTATTAATAGGTGGCTAGTTAGAGAAACTACAACAAGACATACAACAGATTATAATGTAGCTATTAAAAGTGAAGACGTACGTATAACTATTGACACAAAGAAGTCCAGGATGTATTATTAAGTGAAAAAAAGCAAGCTATAGTCACTAAGTTTATGTGCATACACAATATACATACGCTAGTGTGTGCATGTGTAAACTTTTTCTAAAAGGCGCACAACTCAGCGTTAACCGTGATTTTGTTCAGGGAATGAATGACCTTGAGGAAGCTGAGATGGACTGTAGTGTAGAATAGGACTTATTTTCACCTCTAGCTATCTGCACTGCTCAGTGGATCTTGTCTCTCTTCACAGTGAGCATATATTCTTTGTGGGGTGGGGGGAACCTAGCTAATAAAAAGCTATTTAAAAATGTCTCCATTGATATTATCTAGGAAAGAGAGCGCCTCCGTGGAGGAAGGGGAGGGAAGCTGTCTGGAGCGGCTGAGCTGTGTGGGTGGGTGGTGCGGACAGGGAGGCTGGGCTTCTCTAGAAGCTGGCTCGGAGAGGGGCAGGGTGATCCTGGGTGTGGGATGCGTGCTTCTGCTGCTGTGTGTACAGCTCTGATAAGTTTCCAGGCAACTGGACCTCACTCAGGTGCCATCTGTGGCTCACCAGGGGACTCCATCTGGAGACAACTGCGGCTCTCCCCTTTCTCAGTCTGGCCTTAGCTTCCTCCCCTGCCCTTTTCTCTTCTTCCTGGGAATGGGCTCCTCCAGGTGGAGCTTCTCACACTGTCTTGTGCATTTGGGGAGCTGGGGGTGGGGCCTGAAATGCAGAATCTGATTCAGCAGGACTTAGGAAGAATCCTGAGGTTGTTTGTTTGTTTGTTTGTTTGTAGTACTGAAGATTGAATCCAGGGCTTTTACACTGAGCTACATCCCCAGCCCATTTTATTTCTAATTTTTAATTTTGAGACAGGGTCTCACTAAGTAAGTAAACTGCCCAGGCTGGGCTTGAATTTCAATCCTTCTTACCTCAGCCTCCTAGAGGGCTGGGATGGTCCCTGCCATTTGAGTAGCAGTGTAACATGCACTGGCACAGATTTTACCTTTGCTTAATACGTTCGATGGAAGTGACGTGGCTGATTGAGGCCAGGCGAAGAGTTGTGGATGACCTGATTTCAGAAAACCTGGATGTGTCTTGCACAGTTTCCCTTCCCAGGCCTCATAACTTGGTATCAGTTTCCTCCCCTGCAACATTATACCAGCTTCGCCTGGCTGTTGTGAAGTCTCAGGTGGATGAAAAGGTGAGAATCTCACCCAGACCTGTGCCCCGTGCTCACCTGTGAATGGATTCCTCATCCTCTACTTGTTTTTCCCCCTTTTAATTCTAATCTTTTTCATTTCAAGAAGCTCAGCATCTACCCTTCTACCATTTCCTGCAACAGCCCAGTGACTCCTACTCTTCACAGCCAAAGTTTTGGAAATGAAGCTCAGTGGCTGCACTCCTCACATCACATCCATCCCTGACTTGTTACAGTGTCTGATTCCCATCCCACCCTGCTCTGAGGCAGCTCTCTCTGAACACAGCCCTCAAAAGCCAATTCCACTTTTGCCCCTGGTCTTACTGCCCCTTTCTGTGGCATCTGGGGCATTTGCCCACTTTCTACGTCTTGAAATTTGTTTTTTCTTGGCATTGGGAGTACATGTACTCGGTCTCCATATACATTTCACATACATTTTCCCTTGATTTACCACTGGTCTTCACTTGCCTCGGTTTTTGTTCATAGTCCATTATCCACCACTTCCCCCCGCGACACTCACATCTAATTTATAACCAGATCCAACCAGTAACCTCTCACTCTCTTTTGATGTCCATCCCAGTCAACACAGGGCCATCTCCGCTCTCCATACCAATGTCAAAGCTGCAGGAGCTGCTCACCACCTTTTTCTACCCAGGATTCCTTCAATGCCAGCTTGCTCTGGGGCACACGCCCTACGTGACATCAGCATCAGGGGCCCAAGCCGGTTCCCGGTGACATTGATGGCACTTTCCCCTAGCAGTTCCTGTGAGTCCATTTAATCAGTACACAGCAATTTTACAACAAGCTTTCTATCCTTCCTCCAGTGGCTTGCCAGTCTGACTCTTCTCCCCACATAGAAATTTTGCAGCCACTAGCACCTGGCAGAATGACTTTTCATCCTTCAGGATTGTAGGATACTCTCAAAAAGGCCCAGGACCTAAATGAAGAGCCTCCTGAGTGGCAGTGTGGGCGGGGAGAATCTGGCCACCCTTTCTTCATACCTGCATTCAAAGGGCCCAAGGAGAAGAGGGTTGGCAGGTTGTTTCCACTGCAGAGACTTGCTTGCCAACTGGCACAATAGGGGCCTTTGGCACTCAGCTGGCAAGTCCCCGTATGCTCTGGTCAGCTGGCTCTGTACTCCACTAGGCCACAATGTCAGACCTTTGCCATTGCCTGCAAATGGCCCAAGCCTGCCCTTTGCCGTCACACTTTTCAGAAAAGCTTTTGTCACACTCCCTGGGAAACACAAAGCCATTAAAGTGGGTCACTCACGCTCCCGCTGCCCAGCACACAAAGTTGCCCGCTCAGAGCAGCAGTGGGCAGAAGATGGTCCTCCCAGCAGCCAGTCTCCCTGGTCTGAGCGCCTTTGACTTCAGTGACTACTGTCCCCTGCCGGCAGTCCACAGAGCGGCCCTCTTCTCTACCATCTGTACTGCGATCCACTGTAAGGACTGTTCAGTCCCCGTACGTTCTGGATTATTTCCCAGGCACTGGTAAACTCTCCAACCAAGGAGAGTCCGTGAGTTTCCTTACTGATTTTTTTTTAACGCAAAGCTTTAAAACCACACCCTCCAGAGTCCCCAGAGGTATGAATGGTTTTTCAGGGATGAGCCCTGCCCCACTTCCTGCAGCACAGCAGTGCCCCCTCGTGGGAGGTGATTCAACTACAGGGGATGGAGCAAATGTCTGTCAGTGTCTCCGCGAGTATGCGTGGCTTCCCTAGGAGAACGAAGAGCTCATGACAGCCTTTACTTCTTGTTGCTGGAAACTTGTAGGCGCACCAGAACACATTAAGTTGCAAACGATTATTGGGGTTGGCTTTCTGATTATACAGGGAGGAAGGAGAAATGGTTAGTACTGCTGGGCAGTGCACTAGGAAGTCAGCCCCTCCATTACTGTCCGGACCTCAGATGTGCTTGAAGCCACACAAGTTTGGCTGTTAGGTTACCAGTACTTTTGCCATGTCCAAGGCCTGCCTAAACGGTACAAATATAAATCCTGTCTGGGTTTTGATGTGTTCCGCTCTGCATTTCAGTTCTGGACGGTACTTACGGAACCCAAGAGACACGTGCTAGCAGCTGCTCTCAAAGCACCCAGTCCTATCCCTCTTCCCGGGGCACTTTGCCCTGGCTTCCCCCACGGCTCCACTCTTCTCCCCAGGTCTCAGTTTGAATGTCACCACCTCCCAACAGCACTCTCTAAACCCCACAGCTTATTTTCCTCATTGCTGTAAGTTCAATCTGTAATTACCTTGCATATCTATTTGTTTATTGCTTTTTCCTTCAGTGAGTCTGTAAGCCCCATTAGGAAGGGACGGCTTCTGCCTTGCTGGCTGTAGTATTTTACCCCTTGTCACTGTGCCACTCCATCACAGGCAGCAAAAGAGAATGACTCAGAACCACTGAACATTTTGCTTGTCAAATGAGTAAGATGGGAAGGGGTCAAAGCCCAAATTAAGAAGATATTGGCTCCTTGAGTAAATGCAGCCGCCTGAGAGCTTTAGAAAGGACTTCCCAGGGTGTTTACTTACCATCTCATACTCAACTGACTCAGGGATGAAATGTACACTTTACAGTTATGTGTTTATTTCAATAGATTTAGGAAATTGGATAGAGGACACCACCTTTGTTTAACAGTTATCACTTAGGATGAGGCTCAAAGACATAGGGAAGGTGGAAAATGTGAACTCATCTAAAAATAAAGTAAATAATAGTACAAATGATATATGAAAGCATTAAAAAAGTAGCCCTTCAATGATTAAAGTTTGGAAACCTCTGGATCAGAGCAATATTGGTACAGCAGAAGGGAATCAAAACCAAAACAGTGTGGACGTACTATTCATTCCATAAGCACTTAGTGAACAGCAACTGTGTGCTGGCCATTTGCTAAGCCCTGAGGTCACAGCTATAAATAAAAAAGAGGTGCTTCTGGAGTTTTTGGTTTGGTGGAGGTGATAATACCAAATGAAAAAATATTTCTTACAACTGGAGATAAAAAGAAAGAAGGGGATCAAGAGTAATGAGTGAATTAAGTGGGCAGAAAAACCCTGGGGAGGGGCCTCTTGAGCAGCGGGGCAAGTGGTGAGCACAGGCTTGGGTGGAAAGTCAACAGGATGACATGAAAAATTAACAGGATTAGAAAATGGCAGCAGGGATGAGGTAAGAAGATGCTACAAAGAACCCCAAAATGCATGAGCACACTATACCAACAGCAGAGAAAGACAGTATTAGTGATATAGCAAATGAAAACCAGAAAAAAATTGAGCCTAAATGTAGGTCTTAGAAGCAAATAGACATAGATAGATAGACACACGGAGAGAGAGAGAGAGAGAGAGAGAGAGAGACACCTAGAAATAGAGTAGTTGTAGGCAATATGTAATTTGTTGATGTCATTGAAGAAGATACAGGAAAAAATTGGATAGACCTATGAGCAAAGGGTTCATTAAAGATGTAGTTACAGCATGGCTATGTAGGCAACTGAAAGGCCAGCTTAGTCCTACTGAAATGAAACTCATGACCATGAATTTATATATCCATCCAACCACCCACCCACCCATCCACCTATCCACGGACCCATCCATCCATCCATCATCCATCCATCCATATCTCTGTCCATCCATCCATCCATTATTTATCTATACAGAAATGGATCAGGGCAAATATTTTAAATTATAGGTAAAAGGCAAAAGTGTTAAAATATTAAATTATTAAAAAACAGGTAAAGTGAACAAAATAGTTCTCCTGCAAATTCAAGCCATGTAAAGACTTTGTAGAAGCATTTGATGCTAGACAAACAAAAATTATCATCTACAGAATTTTGCAGAAAAACATTGTGACTGCAAATATTTATTGTTTAGCCAGTTAATTGCAAAGGCAAAAGAAAAGCCCTGTAAGATACACAACAGCTTGAAAAACATTGCATCTTGCTCTCCCCAAAGTCCCTTGACAATAAAAACAATTGCCCATGTGACAGTGTGAGAGAACTTGGAACCAAGGAAATAGTGCTCAAACGGACAGTAATTGGGGTTCACAGAGCACTGAGGCCCAATGGGTAATGCATGAAGCTGTCACTATTAAGATTATTCTTCTAACAAACACCATGTCTTCTCACTTATATAGAAAGCTAAACAATTTGATCTCATAGCAGTAGAGTAGAACAGTGGCTGGGAAGGGTTGGAAAGGATGGGGAAAAGGTAGTTTAGTGGGTACAGGAAGAATCTGCATAGGAAGAACAACTTCTACTGTTGTGTTGTACCTCAGCAGGGTAACTGTGGTTAACAGCAATTAGCTGTATGTCCCCAAAAGCTGTGTACCCTACAGAAAAAAATGATAGATGTTAGATGGATATGCCAATTACCCTCATGTGATCATTACCCATTACATATATTACATGCATCGAATTATCATGCTCTAACCCATCTTATTTACAATAATTATGTGCCAATTAAAAATAAAATCAAGCAAAGCTTATTCTTTACAAGATTAATGTTTTGATAAATCAAATTCCAAATCCCAAATAAGTTATTAAAGATTCAACATTTGGCAGCAGCGGAAGAAAAGCAGGGAAGAAGCAGAATAAAAGTACATAACACCCTTTACTGTCTATTCATTCACTCTCTTACAAAAATGTAAACTAAGGAATTAAAACCAGGACAGATAACATCTAACACAATGGAAAACATAAAAACAGAGAAAATGCTGGGCATGAAATGACAGAGATAGAACAAGAAAGTAAGAGGGGGAAAAAAATCCTCCAAAACGCTTACAGCAAGATACAGAAGTACAGAAGGCAAATACTATTAACACTTGCAATAATTAGAAATAAGCCAAAGACTGAAATTTTAAAAAATGACAACAATACGGATTTCTCGTCCTAACAAATTTAGTCATGATCATGTTAACCAGATCACCACCCCCACCGCGAACACAGGGACAGAAACATTTGATATGAAATGAAGAGGTTAAGCTACATTAGGAAAATGTCTTTCTAAAGAAAGCTTGAGTCAGGGTATCAACTGCCAGGAAACGTAGGATCCAAGGCAAAAGACTCTAAATGAGACAAAGAAAATCACTGAGCATCGATGAAGGCCCAGTGCGTAACTGGAACTTCTGTAACATGTGTTGAATCAAACCTACTTCCTCTTGGAACACCACTAAATTGATAAAAAAAATGGATAAAAGATATAAACTCAAAATGTCAAAAAGAAATGGTGGAGAGTTGCTGACGGGCAATAAATACAGACAAACTTTGGAAGAAGGACGCTGGCTCAGGAGGGGTATTGGACTTAGAAAAAAGAGAGGTTGCAACTCATGCAGCTTTGGAGAGGGGGAGAAAATAAAAAGGAGAAATGGATCCTTGGGGAACAAACCGAGGAACTGGAGCACCAGGGACCGAGGTAGGAATGAGAAGTGTGGGTAAAAACACAGCCAATGTCTTCGGTCTCTACAAGGAGCAGCTAGACCCTCAGCCTTCCTCCTACCCCACAGGCAGGCCGTCTGTCACTTTGCTGCTACTGGAGCAGACTCGAGGAGATTACTCTTTAGAGATGCTGAGTCAGACACCGAGGTCCTGGGTCCCCGCCCTATCCCATCATTCTTAGCGCTTTCTGAAGCTAATGCTTCTGCTAAGGCTCACAGAAACGCTACTCTGTGTCCTTGCTCAGCAGATCTGGCACAGTGTGACTTCCGGCTCTTCTCCAAAGTTAAAATGTCCATGAAAGGTAATTTTTTTTTCTTTCGGTATCGGGGATCGAACTCAGGACCTTCGGCCTGTGAGGCAGGCGGCGGAACCACTGAGCTGAATCCCCGGCCAGTAAACATTTTGAATTGATTCAGGACATCCAGGCAGCCACAACAGCTCTGACAAAGATAGGAAAGAGGACTTACAGAACGGCTTCAGACACTGGCAAGAACAAGGAGATGCATGTGCTTGAAGAGGAGGGGAGTATCTTGAGAGGGATTAATGGCAATGTGTCTTTCACTGGAACAATTATTTTTAAAATTTAAGTATTCACAGTATCTTCTGATCCTACCAAGTAGCACTTATTGTGGGCCTTGCAGTAAGCACAGCTTTATGTTTTCTTTACATGTGTTATATCATTTAAACTTCACAATGCCACCACTTTGCATTATTATTAGTTTTATAACTTTATTTTCACTTAAGGAAATTAAGCATAGAAAAGTAACCCACCCATCGGGGCACGGTGGCACATACCAATAATCCCAGCACTCTGGGAAGCTGAGTCTGGAAAATCATAAGTTCAAGCCCAGCCTGGGCAACTTAGTGACTTAAAGAGGCCCTGTCTTGAAATAAAGTTTAAAGGCTGGGGATTTAGCTCAGTGGTTCCACCACCTGCCTCACAAATGCAAGGTCCTCAGTTCAATCCCAAGCACACACACACACACACACACACACACACACACACACACAAATTAAATAAAATGGGGCATGTAGCTCAGTGCAAAGGCCCTGGGGGCACTGTACCACAAAAATAAAAGTAAAGAAAGTAAAGAAAAAGAGAACTGTCGAAGGATCTCAAGGTATAGTGAAGCCAGTACATGAACCCCAGCATTTTGATTCCAGTGCCTGTTTTTACAACTTCCAGGCTATGAGCCTCATTAAAGTTAGGCAAGACAAAGATGCCTGCTAACACAATTAATATTTGATATTGCTGTATAATTTATAGACAACTCAATTAAAACTTTAATAAATGGAGAACTAAGAAATCATATTAGAAAGACATCAATTCTTCTCAAATTAATCTATAAATCAAGTGTAAGTCCAGTTCTAATCCCAAAAGAGTTTTTAGAAAATTGAATTTGGCAAAATAATTATAAAGTTTCTATTGGATTAGTAAATTAATAAAAAGAGCCAGTGCATTTTGTTAGGAGGAAGACTGATAGGGAGAAAACTGCAGTATCTTGCATTAGTATATGTATATATGGATATATATTATAAAGCTGTAGTAATTATCACTCAGGAAGAGGCAAATGGATTACTGGAATATAATACAAAATCAGAAATAAGCACAGCTGTGTAAAAAAATACAAAATAAAGGTGGGATTTTAAGGTTTTTGGGAAATTATGGGTTGTTGGATCTTTGTTGCAAAAATTAATTTATCATTTTGGAGAAAATGGAGTTAAGTTTTCTCACTCACAGCCTACCCCAATATTAGGTCAAGATGAAATAATTTAATGTTAACAAAAACTTATGTAAAGAATGAAAAAATTAATGAACATCCCTAAGAAACGTGAGGCTTTATAATCAGGCCATCCTAGGAAGAAAATAAAGAAAAACACTTTCGATGTGACAACATAGGAATTTTAAAGTTTTAGGAAACAAAGTACCACTACAAAGTGAAAGAAAATGAAAAAGACATAAATAATAGACAAATATTTAATTTCTTGAATAGCTCTTTTTAGAAATCATTAAGAACAAAATCCCAATGGAAAACTGAGGAAAAGGCCTAATTCCTGGAAGACGCTATGAAAGTGACAACATGTTCACATTCACAGTATGTCAAAGGAATAGAAATGAAATCAAGTAAGATAACACTTTGGTCTATCGCCATGTTAAAAATTACTAGCGTTACCCGCGGTACAGAGGAAAACGTACTCTCCCTCGACGCTGTGTGTTATTTTCTCATCGCTGGTACACAATCCCCAAAACGCACAACTTAAAGGATGAGAGGTTCGTTTTGGTTCAGTTTCAGTCCATGATCAGCTGGCTCCAAGGCAGGACCCACACGGTGGAAGGGCCTGGTACAAGACAGCTGCTCACCTCATGGTGGCCGGAAAGCAGAGAAGGAAGAGAGGGGCTGGGGAGGGATGCACCCCTCTAGGTGCACCCCAGTGACCACCTCTCCTGCCCAGACCACTCCTCTGCACAGCACATGCAGCTGCAGGTTCTCCAGTGGGTTAACGCACTGCTAAGCATCGCACCCCATCATCCAGGCATGTTCCCCAAGCCAAACCTCAGAAGATATGAGCCTCTTAGGGAACATTAAACCAAGAGCTGAGCCAAAAGAAATGCTGAGATTTCAAATAAATTTAAATTTCGTCGAAGGCACCACCTAGTATTTATTCTGCCAAAATATTGATAATTCCAAAAAGATGCTCAACATAGTATTATTTATCTAAAGTGGTGAAATAATAGAAACAGCATAAAAATACACAGTGCTCATACTGATTAAGTGATAGCACATTCACTTAATAAAATATTATGCTGAGGCTATAAACATTTTAGAAAATATTTGAGGCATGATGACAAAGGCCGGTGTTACATCGGTGACCAAAACAAGTTAGAAATACTTTTTACATATGAGTACAGGTCTCTCCCCGCATGCACTTGGATACCAAAAAGGGCACAACCTACTCCCCAACAGCTGTATCCACTACACCTCCCAATATATTAAAAAAAAAAATCACTTGCTGTTCTTGATGACTTTTCCTGAAAGACCATTGTAGAAGGATCCATTTTTTTGGTTTGATATTTGTAAAAATCTCTTCACTATTTCACTCCCAATGCACCTATAAATTCTAAATAGGAACAGAGTTATAGTCCATTTCTGCCAAACAACTTATAACAGCAACTTCAAAGAGAAGACAAGGTGTAGCTGCATGGAATACATTGGTTGACTATATTGGGTGAGGTCTAAGAACACATTAGGCCAGACCCCTGGGAGAGGAACCTGGGGCCGAGGCAGTGGAAGGAAACTAATTTTTCATTATGGGATGTAATTCCTGTGAGAAGATATCAAATTGGCAAAATATTTAAATTCATTAGATAAATGAAATGCAAATTAAATGCTTGGTAATTTTAATTTTATACTTAAATTTAAACTAGTTTAAAATTTATTTTAATTTAAAATGATTTTTAAAGTAATTTTAATCCTTTGGAATACAAATCATATCCTTTTGGTACCCTCTGACTTTTTTGTCAAGCACATTTTTTTTCCAAATGAAGAGGGTAGAGGAAAAAACTCTGAATTCCTGTTTTACTACTTGTGCAGCCTCAAAGGGGTCACTTAATCTCATTCTTAATCTCAGTTTCCCTGTTAAAAGAGAGAAAATAAAACTTGCTTGGCAGGATTGTGGAAAGGACTGGGAATGATGCCTGGAAACTCCCCAGAATGTCTCCTCGCACAGGAGGTGCGTGTTAGCTATGGTTATTCTTATCAACCTTGTACCTGCCTGGGACTGAGAGAAGGACCAAATCAGAATGTAATCATCCACATCGGAATAAAGCCAGAATATACTTGAGTCTCACAAAACATGTGGCTGAATGTTCAATCAAGATATATGTGAGCACACAGCCACAGAACATACCCAGTGCTTTCCCCAGGGTATGAGAAGCAAAATGCATTTCACCATGACACATCTGCTCGTTTTTTACAGTTCCACAACTAATTAACCAGAATCCTCATCAACAGTCTCTATGTGGATTAACTAAACATGTCAGCAAACCCTGGTCCTTTTCTGTTAAACATGAACTATTTCTTCTTGCTAGCAGTGCCTCCAGCCAGGAAAATCTGACAGTTAAGTCAAACTTTTCCTCTTTTTTGGGGGGGGTCATTATTTAGAGGATACTTTAGTATTTTCTTTAATTAAACCTATGTAGATAAGACATCACATATTTAACACAGTAAGTCCAACTTTTTCCTAACCCAGGGGAAGGCATTTCTCATGCCATAGGTCCGTCTGATAGCTCTTTAGGGTCAAGGAAGGCACAATCGACTGGCAATTAAGGCCATAGAGTGTGCAGTCAGCCTGACATGGCTTCTAATTCTGCTTGCTCCCCACATGGGTAATTTATTTAACCTTTTTAAGGCTCAGTTTTCTCATCTGTCCACAGGAGCAACTGTGGTGTCTACCTCACAGGATTATTGCAATAACTGATACGAGGGATGTATGTGAGCTAAATGAGAAAATGTACTTCGTTCAGTGCCTGGCATTGGATGAGTCCTCGGAAATGTTAACAAAAAGAAAACGTACGTGCTTCTGAATTAGAAGATCTGGAGGGAATGGTAACATCCTCACAAAGACAATCAAAGAAGGAAACGTATTGCAGAAAGGTGTGTAGCTGAGAGCTCTTTACAAAAACCCTTTAACAGTAAAAAAAAAGTCTCAAAGAAAATTCACATTGTCCTCTGAGTTAAGTGTATAAATAACTTGTTTATTAGATATCCTCAAAAGGAAAATGAAAAAAAATTGTTTGAAAGTATGACTCTATGAAGGTCAAAAACATTTCAATAGGTGCAATGGAAAAATGCTGTTTTAAGGAGAAATTTTCTTTAGAAAATCTCAAAGTCTAGTTTTTTTGTGATTATCAAATGAAATCTCTCACATGTCCACATTTTTCAAGTGATAGACTGTTATATAAATAAGTAATCATTATTTATTTCTAAGTTCTCATGTGAAAAGCAATTTTCTGACTAGCAAACAGGTTCAAAGGAGAGATACCAGCTTTTATTTTTCTGATTGTACAGGATTGTCATGGAGGATACATGAGTTCTTTATTATATCAAGAAATGGAACAAGACATTCACTCTTTAGCTGTTATGTCTTGAGCTCAAGCCTAAGAATAGTCATTGCTCCAAAGGCAGAACTTTACACTGTTTTATTTTTACTTCATATTTAAGTAAACATTTTGGCAAAAGCCCATTATTTACCAGAAATTAGTTGGCAATTTCCAAAATTTCAGATCTCATCACACCTTTTAGTTGTAAAAACCCAGGCAATGTGCAAAGCACAGCTTCCCCCAGAGACTATTTTGGCAGAGTGAAAAACTTTGATCAAAGCTGTAACCTAATCTTCATCACTTAAAAATTGGGGAACAGTTAGTAAGTCACTTAAACTCTGAGTCTCAATTTCTACACACGTGAAATGGACAAAATATGTTCCCTACAATGATTAAATAAAATGTATGAAGTGTTAACGAAGTTCCCTGCACATGAATGGTGGAATGATGTCATAAATCACCTGTCATTATTATTATTATTATTATTATTATTTTTTTTAGGTACCAGGGATCGAACTCGGGTACTTACGTTTGTGAGGCAGGCAGGGGAACCACTGAGCTAAATCGCCAGCTAACACCTCTGTCATTGATACTGTTTGACTTTTATTATAAATTTATCACCAAAGTGTTTCATTGCTGTTGGTGTTTACTCTTGTTTATTTTCAGACCGTGCATACACGTATTTGTGTTTGTGTATGTCCAAGTTTTCACATGTGACTTTCCAGATAGACATATTCGTGTGTGGCCAGAACATAAAAGAAAGATGGGTTGACGCTGATGTTCATGATAGGTTAGGCATTGCAGAGTTTTTACTCAACGTTGAGACGCGAGCTTGTTGGTGCTGGGCACTGTCCTTGGTGCTGAATCCGTTGTTTGGGTTTTTCCCCCTCATTGAGTTTATTGGTACATTTTAGGTGTACAGTACAGTTACATTCATTACTGGGATCTTGTACCTTTACATGACAGGTCTTGGTTCTCATTTTTTCCCCTTGTCCCTGACCTCCCTTCATCCCTCCTCCCTCCCCCTTTACAAACACTTCATTTCCATTTTTCCATTTTCTCATATTTTTTCTTTTCCCTTATTACCTTTCCCCCACCCTTCCCACTTTCCCTTCACCTTTAGCCCTTTTCTTCCTATTTCACACTGAATTCATTTTTTAAAGCCCTTAATTACAGAGCTCGTAACCCAGCCTAGAAAATAAATGACTGTACAATAAAAAGTGTTAAAGGTAGAAACATATTGAAGGTTTGATGAGAACAGGTGATTAGGTGGAATCTAACTTGACTCCAGGAAGTGCAAGGGTGTCTCGATAAAGCCAGCTTCGATGTGGTATCTGTATCTCAACTAACAATTGCAATAAAGAGGAAACCAAGGGAGAGTCTAATTTCCATAAGGAGTAAATGCCAGATAGCACGTAATACTGTAGCCAAAAATGTTCTTTAAAACTAGTCCTTGTATTTAAGAGATCACAGGCAGCCTTAAGAAGTGAGGATGAGATCAGTTAATCAGCCTTGAATGAGAGAGAAAACGCTGGTGATGAATTTAGGTGGTTTAGGTTTGCTGCCACTGAAGTGGAATCAGACAGGATTTTAATGTAGGAAATTCATTTGGCAGGTGATCTTAGGAAACACCAGTGTGGGGACAGAAGAGAAGTAAATAAAAGCTGTGCTATTAGGGAATTTTGGCTTGTCCTTCATAGACCAAGAATGCCATTGTTGAGCTACAGTCTTCATTGTGAAAGGGTGAAGCCCAAGGCAGATCTGAGTAGAGCATCAAAAGTGTCTGGTACAGGAGCATGCAAATGTGTAACAGGTGGAGGTGGTGCCACATATTGAATATCTGTGTTGTCTCCACATCCATACGCTGAAGCCTTATCTCCAAGGAGATGGTTTTTTGTTTTTGTACCGAGGATTGAACTCGGGTTCTTTCCCTTGTGAGGCAGGTGGCAGAGCCACTGAGCTAAACCGCCCAGCCTAGATGGTATTTTGAGGTGGGGCCTTGGGGAGGTAAATAGATCATAAGTGAAGAGGCATCATGAATGAGATCAGTGTCTTCACTTCATACAGATTCTTCATCTCTTCCCCTGCATGAGGATCCAGTGAGAAGATGTTCATCTATGAACCAGAATGAAGACACTGAATCTGCTAGTACCTAGACCTTGCATAGCCTCTAGAACTGTGAGCAATACATGCATGCTATTTATAAACCCCCCGGTTTACAGCATTTTGTCTCTTTGATGGTGATGGACCAAGTAAGAAGTGGAAGGATTCACAGGGACAAGCTCACTACTAAAGGGTTGGCAAAGATGGTGCCAAAGACTTAAGGTGGAAGGAGGGACCAGAAATGGCTAATGGGGAGTGGAAACAGGAGTTACCAGGTACATACATTTACACACACGCACACACATTCACACGAGCACACATGCACACTCACCCACACACAATGGCTCAGAAACACTAGGAATGTAGATAAGTGGTGATTCACAATTTTAAAGTAGAATCAATTTACAGTACTGCTTTTAAATTGTGAGATATAAACCACGATAGGAAAGATGGTCAAATGTCTCCCTTCTTTCATCTTAAAGTTGGTTTTTTTTCAACCATGTGAAACAGAAGTCACTTTCTGTGCAGTGTGAAAGAACTTGCGTGGGGCCCTCTACTTAAAATTTTGCCAATTGTTCCCTGCAGGGTGGCCGGTGTGGAGAGAAATGGAGGGTAAATCAAGTCTCCATTTAATTTACCATGCTGTCTCCCTAGTAGCCAGGCTCCCCGAAGGTGGCACCTTTGTTTACTTGCATGAGCCTGGCAGCTGCACGGGGATTCACACAAGGAATCTCTTTCACTGGGGTTGGAGGCAATGTGGATCTTCAAAAGTGGGTCAACCAGGCCCTATGTGGAACGCAGTGATGTGAATATCCCCTTATCTTACGCCACTCCACGCCCACAGTGTTCTTCCCTAGAAAGGTTTTCTGTCTAGTATCAGAGAAAGAAACAAAAAGCTATACATCAATTTGTTTATTGCTCTAAAGCATCTGTTTCTTTGCTATGTTTTGCAAGGAAGCTTGGCATCTCATATTCATAAATGAGTTGCTTTGGGTTTAATCGTGCAGCTAACTTGAGCTATAAAGCAGAATTCGTGGCTGCCTGGAGAGGATTTTGAGGAGAAGCAAATGAGCCCACAGGGCTACTTTGCTTAGAAGACAATCCACATGCTAATGACACTCCCTGCAAGTGATATGCAGCTAGCTCTCAGTCTTGGGGGTGTGAAGGAGCCTGGTACCCCATACAAGCTGGGAAACAAGAGTTGATTTCTGATGGTCAAGACCATCAGGAAGAGGCTGACAGAGCCAATTTATGTCTGATGGTTTATTAAAATTCTCTGATTCTCAGATTTCTGGCAACTAGTGGGTGATACTATGAAGACCCACTACAAAGGCGTTCACTTTCTTCCCAGCAGAAGGGCATCTCTGATAAAAATCTAGGACAAAATGCAATCTATAGGGGCACACTGGGAGACCACTCTAGGGAGTGAAATTTCACAGCAATAGCCTCAAGGCCAAGCATTCTACTTGTTATAAGTTGGATCAAAATATTCCCCTAAGGGCTCAAGTGTTCAGAGGTGAGGTTTGGGGAAGGCTAACCTCATGGACAGACTAATCTGCTAATGAATCCATAGCTGAACGTGCTATTTGGAACTGGGCCCGGTTGGAGGAAGTGGGAAGTGAGGCATAATTTCTCACTGGTGTTCCCTTAGTTGCTTGATTTTTCCGGCCCTTGAGTTTAGCCTCTATGCCACGGAGACAACAAGAACAACACATTACAGAGGGGTCATGAGGATTACATGAGATATACAACGAGGTGGCAGAAAGCTCTTCAATGGTCTCTAACACCGAATACACACCCTGTCGGTATTAGATGCCACACTAAACATCTGTACGGTGACCTTTGGGTCAAGTGGGTCTGACTTCCCTTCCTAACCCTGTGTTTTTTGTTTTCCTTTCATGATTTTCCTTCTCCCTTCTTTGCCTATGGCAGGGAAATGATGGACTGCCTGTTCTGGTTTCTAGGAGCAGGTCTGGAAGCCACCCCTCTGAGCTTCCTCTACTAGACCTAAAAGAGGCTCCAGATCCCTGTAGTGGCTGGCTCAGTCCTCACTTCTCCTAAAGGCAGTTCCCAAAGACACACTTAAGGGGTACCTGTAGAACGCCTCATTTTGGCCTTGAGTTCCCAATCTGTTTCTTCACCTAACTTTGCCAAGAATACAAAAACGAGATTTTAGCTCCTACCTGAACCTATTCTTCTAAATTTTAAAGTTCAGGACCAGGAAATGAGGAAGGGATGTGATTAATTGCTAACTTCAAAAGACCTCAACCAACATCTAATATTTTATCCTCAAGCCAAATGTAATGAAACTCAAAAAACAAAAATTCAGTTAAGTGGTTTATTCCAGCCACTCTGGTGACTTCCAAAGACATTCACTTCATTTTGTGTGTAGTGTTGTGATTCTTTGACCTTCCCATTCATCCTACACAGCACATATCTGATTTTTCTTCCAGGTACTAGCTTTTCAAATATTTCTACCTTAGGCAACTTTTGTATTCTCACAAAATAGCTACTACAAACATCTGTACCTTAGATAACTTTTGTGTCCTGACAAAGGAGCTCCTATTCCTTGTATCCTTATTCATTGTGCTGGTTTTTGTAGTTTTCTTGCCTCTCTGGCCTCTCTCCAATTTGTATGACTCTTGAAAAGGGTGTGACACCCTCGGACTGCATTGCTGGACAGTCGTTCTGGGCAGCAGTTGTCTGACAGCTAGGCTGGCGGGACCCTCCCTGAGCTGCTCTGCTGTTGTGTGACTTTCAGAGGCACAAATGGTCTGTGTGCTCAGGAATTGGTATCTGTTTACAGTTTATAATATTCTGCAAGCACTATAAAGTGATCTGAATTTTCCCCAAATGGAGCATATGGATAGTAGGAATATTACCGCGGACTGGGAATATCAATGCAGCTAAGTTCACCTCCCTTGCTGATCCCTAAGACTCTCCTTGGAAATCTCACATATGCTACTTTTTAAAATGTGAAGTTGGAAATAAAGATTTTCATGTGAAATTTCTCAGTTATAAAATGTTGGCAAATGTTTTTAAAACAACATCAACAGCTACTAAAAAAAAAAAAATCCATGATAAGGACCAAATAAAATCTCTCTCATTTACTACGGTCCACTGGCTGCCAGTTGCAGCCAGTGTGCCTAGACAACTTGCATTTTCACTTTTGTTTTATTGGTGTTTATGAGGGCCCTATTGAATACCAGAGATTCAGGGAGAAGAGGGGCAAGCGAAGGTCCCACAGTCCTTGGCCTTGAAGATCTTGCAGTTACATTAAGCTAAGAAACACTGGCATAAGGTTACTAGATACTGTGAAGTGCTTTCTCCAGCTTTTCAAGGCCACTGAAAAACTTCACATCCCATTTTTGTTGAGAAAAGAGGGTTCTGTGTCATGGAAATCATCATAGACCCTCCGTAGATCTCTTTGTACCTACTCCTGTCAGCTTCCTGCAAGTTCTACTTTCTCCCCACTGGCTTCCTTTGATCCTTACCCCTCCAGTATGGTGGGATATGCATTCTGGTAACTTCTTTAAAGAATAGAAGCGGGGAGGTGGAAAAACAAGAGAGAACAGACAGTGCAAGAGGTTAAGATCTAAGAGCAGCTCTTGGAGCTTGGCGTGTCCACATGGGTTCTATGTTATCCTCTCCCAAAGGTGCCAATATCTGCACCACCTAGCAGTAGACTGTCTACAGTTATCTTCTGCATCACACAAGGAAAGCAACCAGCCTTTCCTTGGGCCAACACTAAAGAACGGTCAAGAGCATTACATGTGTCATTGTCTACTCTCCCCATAGCTTATGGAACATGTGCTATTACTACTTTTATTTTTTTCAGCAGAGGAAAACATCATTAAGAACGAAGTTCTTTCCCAAAGTCACAGAATGAACAGATAGCAGAGCTAGGGTTTGTGCTGAGTTCTGCCATTTGCTGGCAAGTAACAGAAACTGACCTCAAACTAACTCAAACAACATGAGGATTTACTGTCGCACATGCTTCGGCAGCCCAGTGTCCCCCTACACTCGGGCCCACTAGGATCCAGGGGATCCTGCAGTGGTCTTGGGGCTGTCTCCATGCTTTGGTTCTTCTGTTCTCTAGCTTGCAGAACAATTTTCCATGCTTTTGGCAAAGGTGTTCATTGGCACTTGTAGGGATCTAAGGGAGGAGGGAGAGGGGAAGGAGAGGTGAAGGGGAAGGAATAAGGATTAAGATGCTATATGTACACGTATCAACTCCCCACAGTGAAGGCATTCATCATGTGTCACAAATATGTACTAATAAAAAGAAAAAGAAAAACAGAATCCCTACAGTTTGTGATCCTAGAGAAAAAGAGACATTTCTACAGGAGTCTATATTCCAAATTGTAAAGAATCCCAGACGAGTCCGTGCCATCAGTGAGCAAATTACAATGGCTGAGGGGCACGGAGTTCCCTGATTGGCCAGCCCAGGCCGTGGGCCCACCCCTAGTGGGAGGAGTCCCGCCAGACTACACCAGGGCCATGTGGCACAAAAGAGGCTCCTCAGTGGAAAATCAAGGTCTAGTAACAGCCAGAGAGGACAACGGATGCTGGGCGGGCAAAATTAACAGCTGTCATCTATCCTTCGTGACATGAAAGGTTTGTTTTTTCCCAAAAAATTTTTTTGGGAAGAAGACAAACTAATGCTGAGAAGACACGGAGCACATGTGAGCCTTTTGTCATGTCACTTGATTACTCTCTAACACCTTGATTCGCAGAATCCTTAAAAATAGTTCCGGAGGCTGCTTTGTGGATCCATGGAGCCCTCCTGTTTTTTCTCTGATGGCAATCTCGGTCTTCTTCCTCGTCTGGAGTTCACAGCCATGGAAAATCCCCACACTTTGAAGGCAGAAGGTAGACTTGACTGCCTTATCCTCTCTGGGAGTCCAGGGAAAGATTTCAGACACAAACATATTTGGAGGAAGAATTTGGCAGTGGAGTTGCTACCTCCAGATTAATTTACACTCCGGCAGCCCTCAGAGAGGCTGACAGAGTGATGGATGGCAGTGCCTGCTGGGTGTGCAGTCACAGAAATGCTGCCACAAACTCAGCTCATTAGCTCTGGGTTCCTCTCCTTCCCTTGCCACACCTTGGACAGGAATCTCCTGTAAAGTGGGGCCAGCTCACAGAGGCCTCGTGCGTCCAATGTCAGATCCCTGGGGTTGATTCCCAACTGGGTGTCCAACCCAGCAGGGGGCGCTCAACTCCTCACCCGCATCCACCATCTGCTGTCACCAAGGGCCTGGTGCTGGCCACCCAGGACACCTCGCAAGAGGATAGTTCACAGCAGAGCTCAATTACCTTCCCCTGAGGAGCACAGTAACAGCTCCAAAGACAGGAGTGCTCGGGACATCAGCAGCTCTGCCTGCAGGACACTAGGTATGCGAAAGCTCTGGAGATAATGTATAAGACACTGAGACTTGTAGTGAATTCCTAGGAATTCAAAAAATAATAACTGTAATTGTTTGCACTGGTCATTTGCTCAGAAAACAGAGCTTGAGCTTGGGGCTGTCTAGGCAGAGGTGCTGATTTGGCAATGACATAGTGCTGATGTTGAATTTGTAGCCAGAACCCAGGAAGCCCAGCCTCTCAAGGCTACCACATCTTTTCCATCTTTGCTCTCCTGGTGTTGTGATTAAGGGCATGGGCTCCGGAGTTAGACTGATAAACTCAGGCTTGATTATTATCCTTCCATTTACCCTTGTCTGCGTCAGTGCAAGTGATTTCTATGTCTCAATTTCCTGTTAAAAACAGCAATAATAGTAATACAGACCCCACAGGATTTGGCACTGAGTATGTGCCTGGTATAAATAGTAAATGCTCTGTCAATATTGTTAGGATTGTTCCATTAGGACCTGCTTCTGCAACTCTTGAATATGAGTTGGTATTGACTCTCAGCTTCCATATACCATCTGCCTCAGGTAAGAGTCATGTCCACTGCTTTGACCCCGCTCTGGTGCATCCAGATGGGTGACATAGCTCACACCGCTTTTCCACAGAGTACAAGAAATAGGTAGACTCCAGATTACCCAGATTCTGGCAAAGTCTTGAGGTTTAAAACCTGGTGAGTCTCTTCTGAGGATCTTGGGGACTCAGAGCAGTCACCCCCTTTTCGGTCCTAGTGGCCTACGGACATAACATCTAGAAATCTGTGAACCAGGACATTTATCATTGGTTCAGCTGGGTCAACTTCCTGGGGCCTGGAGGCACACTGGGTCCCACTACTTATCTTAACTGTGACAGGTTCCAGCCCCAGCAGATGCCTCTGCCAGTTCTCAGCGGTGATGCTCACAGAGAATAATGCCTTTTCCCAGACAGCATATGGCCCTGGCAGAGTTTGGAACTTTAGAGACACAGACTCACAGCCATATGGGTCCATTGCCTAAGCTCCTCTGGTCAAGCCAAGCCAGCAAGAAAAGGACAGGCCAGGGGTCTCAAACAGGGATCCTGTGCACCAGGCTTGAGGAGAGGTAAGTACAGAACTCTCTGGAACAAATTCTCCACAGCTGACTGGCAGATGGGAAGTGGAGAAGGAAAAATCACCTGGCTTTCCCAATTATTAGAAGTTGAGCTGTTCTCTAGCTTAGCTTATGGTCATGATGGAGCCCATCATTTGCAAATAGGGCTATAATAACTCACACCTCCTTGTATTAACCCCCTTCGGTAATGCTACTCACACCAACTCAAAACTTGCCCATCTGGCTTGTTTGGGCCAATAAGACAGTAATGAATGTGACACATGCAGACACTTGCAAAGGTGTGTATGAGGAAGCTTGGCCTTCTGCCACACTCGAGGCACTGCAGCAGCCATTGAGCAGGCCCAGGTATACTGCCAAAACACGGGTGACCACCTGGGGTGGGGTCCCCACCTGGGGTGGGGTCCCCATGATCTTCTGCATTCTGGACTTTACATCACCTACAGCCACCTAACCCATTATCTGGCAGCAGATGCATGAATGAACCCAGCCAAGTTCAGATAAATTTGGTCCAGACCGGAAGAACTATCCCAGTGAGCTCAGGCCAAATTTAACCTGTAGAGTTGCTGAGCTCAATAAATAGCAATTGCTTTAAACTACTAAGTTTTAGGGTGATTTGTTAACAACAACAACAGCAAACTGAAATACAAGGCCTTTTAAAGACCACTAGAGTAGATGAGGAGATGAGGCTAGATCCATAAAGACCAGGACATGGCCCTACAACATCCCAGAATGCTCATTAATAAAATTTATACAACACACAGAGTGGCTGGGTATTCAAAACCATCCGGCCCAAGAGTAAAATACTATCTCTGATGCTCCCCTTTCCAATCTAGGTTTTGTTGCCTAACACTTTCAGATAGATGTAAGGAGAGGTTCAGAGGAAATGGTCCAAGAAACTTGCCATTAACGCGAGATAAGATGCAACGAACATTTAAAATGTTTGCTATGTTCCAGGCTTTGAACCTGATGTTTTAGAAATTCTTGGTTTTGTTTGCCTCTGGCATTCCCATTTAATAACCTATGAAATAGATTCGCTTCTGCACTTGCTGAAGCCAAGGCTCGGTGTTGAGCTATTTTCCTTAGGAGCGGTACCGCCCGGCTTTGCATCTCCCCTCGTGAGCACAACATGTGACGGTTTTCTTGATACCACAGTATCTGCATTCCAGCAAATTCCTTTTTTTTTTCTTTCATGAGTTATATGCCAGATACTTTTCTGAATGCTGTTCATGAGTACTTTAAACCTCACTGCTAACCCAACAGGATAGAAACTATTGTTACCACTGTGCAGATGAGGAAAATGAGGCATGGAAAGGTTAAGAAACCTATTCATGGCCACACGTCTGGGAGTGGTTGAAGCAGCGTTTGGCACTGGGCCTTCTGGCTGGAAAATGCACACTTCCAGGCAGAGCTTCACTAGTGGCTGAAGTCTTTATATGCAGAGCTCCTTCCCCTTTGGAACATAAAGGCCTTAGGCAGGGAAGCAGACTGTCCGATAAATCCATGATTGGTCCTCCAGGATGAAGCTATGGAGAGTCGTGTTCTCCCGGGTTGAGCCCTGCTCCCTCTCTGTCTTTAATA